ATATACTAAAAACCAATGACTTGTACATTTTAAAATAAGTATACTTATATGTGAATGAGATCTGAATAGAACTTTGAAAAAAGTATACTATAAATGTACTTGGTCTGTTTTGTGCTACTTAGGATACACTGCCTGAAAAAAAATTTAATCTAACTTAATAAAAAATAAAAAGGGCTGGGGATGTAGCTCACTGTGAAGGCCCTGTATAGGGGATGAGGGGAGAGAGACAGACAGGCCTCTCTTGGGGGACTGGTTCATCCTCATGGTGGACAGTGGGTTCTCCCCTTTGTAGGGTTAGACTAGTTCCCGTGAGAAAGGGTTGACACAGCAGAGGGGCCCCTGTGTTCCACCTTCCACATACATCTGGTTGCCCATCAGCCATGTGGCCCTTAGCAGGAGCTATGAAAATGTCAGCATCATGCCCTAAGACTTCTCAGCCTCCAGAACTGTGAGCCCAATAAACTTCTCTTTTTTATAATTCACCCATTCTCAGGTATTCTGTAACAGCCATAGAAAATGAACTAAGACAGTACCTAGCATTGTGCCTAGCACATTCCAGACAGTCAATAAATTAATGAATGAAATAAATGCTGAATAAAGAACCCACTCAAAGGATACCTTTCACCCCAAAGGCAGCCTAGGATTGACAGGGAGCATTTTAGGTGAAGGGCCTCACCCCTTGTCCTGTTCCCATTTTAGATCAAAAGTTGCACAGATGGGCTTGAGTAGTTAAAAAAGCCATTACAAATTTGTAAATAGGAAAGGGAGGAGCAGGTGAAGGGTGGGCAGGGATAAGGAAAAAAAATGAGAACCAAGACCTGTTATGTAAAGGTACAAGATCCCAATGATGAATGTAACTGTACTGTATCCCTAAAATGTACCAATAAACTCAATGAGGAAAAAAAAACCACAAAAAAAAGAAAAAGCCATTACATAATGGATATAAAGTTTTGGGGAGCTGCTGCCTACCACCAGAATATCTGGAGGTAAAAAAAACAATGCGCTTACCTTCAGAAATATTTTTTAAAATATTATACCATTAAAAACAATAATTCAGTTATATAAACTGCTTAGATGAATTTTTCATTCTGGTTACAAATGAAGGGTATTTATTATGTATAAAACAGCTTGGGGAAGGGCCCTTTAGAGATGGGTAGATTTTTGTTTAAAGAACCCAAGATTGATTGTGTCTGCATTATAATGTATATTATTCTCACCAGTCTAATAAATCATTTTTCTCAATTCATAAGTCTGGCTTATGACTCCAACAAAAAGTAATATGTATAGAGAAAAAAAAGAAAAAAAGAGAAGAATTAATCAACTAGAAAGTTGTTTCCTGCTGTTTTGATTTTGATAAAAATTGCTATATTTGTTCACTTTAAGGCAATTGCTTGTTTGTCTCACAATACATGTAGTGAGTAGGTCTCACAATGAAGGATTCAATTTTCAGATTCTTGGGGTCCCTGATCTGAGAAGGACATGGTGAAGGCAGGAAGGGCTGGGGTGGGATGACTACTGAATGGAGAACGGAGAATGGAAGAGCATGGAGCCGAGAACATATAAGTTACTAACACAACATGACCAGCTGATAGTATCCAGCGGTGGCAGCTCTCACCCTCTGTAGACAGGTGTGTAAATGCATACAACCATTTTGGGAAACAGTCTGGCATTTCCCAGTAACAGTGAACCTAGACTGTGACTTGCAATTTCACTTCGAAATGTATGCCCCAGAGAAAGTCCAGAACTCGTGCCCAATGACTCACGAACAAAGATGTACAAGAATAACGTTCATCACATTAAAAAAGCCTCACCCCTTGTCCTGTTCCCATTTTAGATCAAAAGTTGCACAGATGGGCTTGAGTAGTTAAAAAAGCCATTACAAATTTGTAAATAGGAAAGGGAGGAGCAGGTGAAGGGTGGGCAGGGATAAGGAAAAAAAATGAGAACCAAGACCTGTTATGTAAAGGTACAAGATCCCAATGATGAATGTAACTGTACTGTATCCCTAAAATGTACCAATAAACTCAATGAGGAAAAAAAAACCACAAAAAAAAGAAAAAGCCATTACATAATGGGTATAAAGTTTTGGGGAGCTGCTGCCTACCACCAGAATATCTGGAGGAAAAAAAAACAATGCGCTTACCTTCAGAAATATTTTTTAAAATATTATACCATTAAAAACAATGATTCAGTTATATAAACTGCTTAGATGAACTTTTCATTCTGGTTACAAATGAAGGGTATTTATTATGTATAAAACAGCTTGGGGAAGGGCCCTTTAGAGATGGGTAGATTTTTGTTTAAAGAACCCAAGATTGATTGTGTCTGCATTATAATGTATATTATTCTCACCAGTCTAATAAATCATTTTTCTCAATTCATAAGTCTGGCTTATGACTCCAACAAAAAGTAATATGTATAGAGAAAAAAAAAGAAAAAAAGAGAAGAATTAATCAACTAGAAAGTTGTTTCCTGCTGTTTTGATTTTGATAAAAATTGCTATATTTGTTCACTTTAAGGCAATTGCTTGTTTGTCTCACAACACATGTAGTGACTAGGTTTCACAATGAAGGATTCAATTTTCAGATTCTTGGGGTCCCTGATCTGAGAAGGACATGGGAAGGCAGGAAGGGCTGGGGTGGGATGACTACTAAATGGAGAATGGAGAATGGAAGAGCATGGAGCTGAGAACATATAAGTTACTAACACAACATGACCAGCTGATAGTATCCAGCGGTGGCAGCTCTCACCCTCTGTAGACAGGTGTGTAAATGCATATAACCATTTTGGGAAACAGTCTGGCATTTCCCAGTAACAGTGAACCTAGACTGTGACTTGCAATTTCACTTCGAAATGTATGCCCCAGAGAAAGTCCAGAACTCGTGCCCAATGACTCACGAACAAAGATGTACAAGAATAACGTTCATCACATTAAAAACAAAATAGTGGAAACAATCTATAACCCATAAGCATCACTGTGGGTAAAAAATCATGGTAAATTCACACATAGGACACTATATAGCTGTGCACAATAGCTGTACACATTTACATGGTTGAATCACAAAAACATAACATTCAATAAAACAGCAAGTTGCTAAAGAATTTACAGTTCCATTTATAGAAGATCAAAAGCCAGCAAAGCCAAAGATGGGTTATTTGGGAGTGCATGTGATAAAAACTATTAAAGCAAATTATCACAAGATTTAGAATTGTGATTGCAAGGCTATCACTATGGTTTATACCTTACAATCATATTCATTATTATTCTAGAAAGCATAAATTATCATATACTCTTTGGCATATATCACACACTTAACAATTTTTGAGGAGTTTTTCTTTAAAGTAAACAGAGATGCTGAGTCACAGATTCATTGGGAAAGTACAGAGGTAGAGGAAGATACTCACATCATCTGAACCAAAATATTTGTTCTAGATCTAAACTTTGGATTTCTACTCATGGACAACAGGCAGTGCACCATACATAAGTAAATAAATAAAATTAAAAAGGAAGAACAAAGAACCCTGAAGCTCACATACATCAGTCATAAGCCTCTACCACCACCACAAGGGTTCTGCTGCTCCTCATACTAACTAGATGCAACTGGCCCTCAGTGCCTCGTGTCCCAGCTCCATGCTGCCTGCAGCCCTCTTATCCTGCTCTTGTCCCCACAAGCCTGATGCAGTCCATAGTCTCTGCCTACCATCTGGATCTGTATCTAAGCGCATGTGTCAGGGAGCAATTCACCCAGCTACTGGGTGAATTAAAATATTTCAGTGGTCTTTCAACACCTACAAATCATGGTCTGTGCTCTTTGCAGCCTTAGTGATTTGGTAGATGCTCTGTCCTGCCTGGAGTCCCATACTCTCACCCCAGCCCATGGGAACCCACCTCCCAAGGATGATCCAGATGACACCTCTTGTACCAGTGAGGATTTTCTGAATCTCCCCAGGCAGAACTGAGTGCCTTCCTCTTCTAACCCACAGAGCTCCCTGTGTGTGACTGTAGTGCTGCACTTAGCTGTACTACAACTGGTCCTCCTATTCCCAGCAGACTTAGAGACCTTCAGAACCAGAGTCTCTTTTCAGCTTGGGAAATACTCAAAGTATCAGCCAGTCAGAATGGATATAAAACTGTAGCAAGGTCCTCCAGATATCTCCCGCACCCCAAACAGCTAGATATTATCTCCTTAATTGGTGAATCACTGGGAGGAAAAGAGGGCAGGTGAGGGGCAAGGCAGCTTGTGTGTAAAGATGAAAGGTTCAGGACCAGATTTTTCAACCAGTAAAGAAATACTGTAGTATTTTAAGAATTACCATGATGATTATATATCAATATCCGGTGGTTCAATACCCATCTTTATATTCCTAGGGACAGACAGTAACATGCCTAGTAGAAGGCATTTACTAATAAATTTACTGAAAGAGACATGTATTAATTATAATTGGAATCATTAACCATTTGCCCAAAAAGAAGAAAGGGAGAATGTGAGACTTGGCTTCTGCTCTAAACTTCTATTGTCTTTGTCTTCCCTTCACGTAAAAGCAGATTGCTAAGTATGGCCATGTGATGTAAACTGGTTCAATAAGACTCAATCCTGACTTTTTGCTTCAACACTCCCAATCCCTTCGGCCCCTCCAATCACCCCAGGCTAGTTTCAGGAGCTGTCTTGCCCCCAAGAGGGGGAACCTGTCAAGATGGAAGCACGGAGTAGCAGAATCAGGACATGAAGAGAAACAGATCCTGTAACCTGATTTAAATCCTACATTCAGCCACGCCTGAAGATCTGTCCACACCTTTTAGTTAAATGACCTTTCTTTCTTACAATATTTTGATTTGGTTTTTTGTATTTTATTCTATTTTGCTTTGCCTTTGCAATTATTAAGTTCAGTCTAATTCAGGTGGAAGGATGATCCTCCACTAGAAAAATCTAGGTTTTTATTTGTATATCTCTTATCTTTTATATTGTATGGCATCTTGCCTCTTCATTTTGGTGACTCACCTCTTACCAAGGAGAACATTGGATAGATTTATGAATGTGGGAAAATCCAGGGTGTTCATGACAGGATAGGCATGGATAGGAACAAGCAAAGTGTCATCTCCCTAAAATTAATGAGAAAAGATCAAGTTAGACATTTTTTTTTTTGTACCAGGGATTGAACTTGGGACCTTGCACTTTCAAAGCAGGCGTCAGCACCACTGAGCTAAATCCCCTGGTCCAAGTTAGATATTTTGAGAACTATATTTTTAAAGACAAACTTATAGATTCTTTCTTATCACATTTTCTACTATTAAAATTTTCTCTTAAACTTAGTACTTAAGTACATTAGAAATAGAGAGTTTTCTCAGAAATAAAGTGTAGAAAATTTTAAGTATGTTTCATTGAAATGATGTTCACTATTATCTGAGAAAGCTGAAGATGATGTCCTCATGTAGCTGTGAAGACTGTACTATTTGCTCCTGTTTCAGCAAATGCTGAGACACTCTTTAATGGCCCAAGAGAAAGAGAAACCAGCACAGAATCACCCGATTTGGACAGCACAGAATAGAGAGCAATGTACTTGCATAAGGGCACAGAGACCTGGGTCCAGTCCTGCAAAATGTTTTGCCTTGAGCAAGACCTTTAACTATTTCTTCCTTTGCAAAATGGAGACAATCATACCTTTCCTCACAGGTGTTTTTAAGAATGAAAGCAAATGACAATCTTAAAAAGTCACAAGTGCTGCCTACATATGGGCTATTGCTATGAGCACTATTATAAGTGGCAGGAAAGGTGCATTATTATAAATGGCACTCTACTCAACGTCTAGTCTAGAAATTTCCATCTGCTCAGAAGGGAATATCCATTCTGAAAACAATATCCTAGTTTCATATTTAGACTTTTTAAAAAAACTGAAAACTTCCCCAGATAATAATGGTTTGTCACATTATTAAGGAAATGTGCCTCTTGATCTAAAATATTTGAGGTATCTTAGATCCAGGGATTACTTCTTCCTCTGTGCAGAAGCACTGCTAGTATAATATGAGTCAATGAGATAATGCTATCCATTTACTAAAATTAAGTTCACAAGTTGCCATGACTTTTATAAAAAAGAAAACTCAAAACAAAATGTCTTTGTGATAAATCACCTTATTGTACAGATTGTAAGCAATAAAAGCAAACTCACTGGTTACCACATCCCACTCTTCCATTTCATGTTTGAATACTAAGAAAATAGTTAACTGAGTTTTCTTGAGTTTCAGAACTGTGTTTGCAACACAGAGAAAGGAAGGGGTGCAGATAGCCATTTTAAGAGAAGAACTGATAAGAAGTGAAGGTGTTTCTGGAGGTCAAAATGTGACATGAGGACCTAGAAGAGGCTCAGAAGAATCCAAACCACACAGCATCTTAGGTCAGGCCCCAAGACCAGAGGCTGCCTTTGTGAACACAGGAGACTCAGGTCAGTCACCACAGTTTATAATCATGACTTGAGTGATTGCTTGTTTTTCAGTCTAGCACCTCTGTGCCTGCCTTGCAAGCCCAAGGACCCGCGTTCAATCCCTGGTACCAAAACCAAAACAAAAACAAAAACAAAAAAAACCTGTGACTCAGTCTAGCACCTAAAGGAGCACATGGCCACACTAAAGGAGGTTTTTGGCACAGGGCCCTGGGACACCTCTAGCACAGTATCCTGAGCCTGCCTAGGTTCTCAGCAGTCCAATTGGCATGCATGTCACTGAACTCTCCCTTCCACACCAGTCAACTGGTCCCTGAGGAATGCCTGGTGCAGGGCTGGGGAAGCTCTGACCTGCCAGTCCATCTCTCCTCCTTCACCCAGCCACCTCCCAACAAAAAACACGTCTAAGAAATGTACCTTACAGTGAACACGGATGCAGTCATAATAGTATCGCCACTCATCTGGATAAAATGTAATGGTGACTGTGAGGGACAAGCCAGGGATGAGGTGGTTTTCCTGGAAAGCAAGTGGGTTCTCAATGGTACAAGCCCCAGACCTCACAGACCACAGCACTGTGAGTGGCAACACACAACACTCCCACTGCCCAAAAAGACCTGAGACCTAGAAAACTACAGCCCAGAAAAGAACACCATGGGGAGGGAAGGTAGCCAGAAGCCACTTACCTTCTTCACATAGCTGATCTGAAAGTATTTGGTTTGTGGAGGTAAAATATGAACATGTGTGTCCTCATCAGAAATGTTGACCAGGAGCTAGGCAAGAGAAAGACGTGTTTAGAGTCAAGACACTGATTTGTTTATCTGTACATTCATCTCTTCATGTGTTTATACCTCATCTTGTTCCTAAGTGGATATGAGGAGACATCTTTTTAAAATTTTTTTAAAGATTTGAAGTACACCATACATCATTTAAAGAATAACAAAATATGCCTGTATGCCTACCGCTCCCCTAAGAATGATACCAGCCTGCAACACCCATGGCCCCCAGGATATGTGGTCCTTAGGGGCCTCCTCAATCCTAAAGGGTCACTATGTGGACTTTTGGTTGCACTGAGTCTGTCCTGAGAGTCCCCTGAGCTGAGAGGCCAGCCAGTATTGCCTGTAGGCTCTCTAATGCCATGTTCTAGGGACAGAGGACACTGCTACCCCCAGAACATCAAGAGAAAACTGTGGCTGGGGCAGCCATCCATCCTGGGCAAGTTGAAATGGCTGTTCTCTGATAGAAGTAGAAGGCCATTCCCAGAGGCAGAAGAGCCTGGAGGTAAGTTAGCTGACTCTCTGAGGAAAGAGGGGATTTCCCTTTGCGTGAGAGAGAAGCAGGGACTTTGAGCTATAGGGATCTGGGCTTCACCTGGGCTGTGGACGGCTGAGAGGCCTTTGGTTTTCACAGTCTAGGCCAGAGGCTTGCTTGTCACTGGGGCTCTGGAAGATTCATTGCCTGAGGCCTTCTACTCATTAAGATCCTAAATCAGACTTTACATATTAGCTCCCAAGGAGACCACAGTGGTATTTGCAAAAGTTAAAAGTTCTTATTTGTTACATGGGAACATTCTTGAAGTACCACTTTTGACCCTGTTTAGTTATGTATTTCTTTTCTTTTTAAAAATATGCTAAAAGCCTAGAAATGCAAGCTTCCCAGAGGCTCTGAAGAGGGGCAGTCTTCGTGAAGGTTGTGCTCCCAGGGGCCCAACACGAGCGGTCCCTCCATAAGAGATGGGGAGGACAGGTGTGCTGGGCTGTCACACTCAGACCTACCTGGGGTCAAGAGGTGCCACAGGCCTGGTGGGCTCGAGAAAGACCTCTGAACCCATACTTGCCGTGGGGTGGAGGACGGTAAAGGCCTGGAGGTGGGAGTCCAGGGAGACCTGGGAGCAGAAGTGGCTCTACCATCCATCAGCTACTTAAAAGTCATCCAGCCGGCAAGGAGAGCAAACTGGCTTTAGCAATCTGTGCTCCTAGAGTCATAGTGAACACCAAAAGATCCTAATCCAGCTTCTACATTCCAGGAGCAGCACCTACAGAGCTTGGATGATGTTCACCGAAATAGCTGGAAGAGCTTCTACTAGCAGAACGGGTGCTGAGGATGTACCGATTAACTGGTAGCATTATTCTGGAGTTTCCACCTTGGTATACAAGCAACTGGGCCCAGAGGCCCAAAAAGCCTTTGGAGTAGCATTCTGAAAGGTACATGAGAAACTGAAGGCATTTCAGCATCCAAATTAGGGTGTTTTATCACCTCCCCCCAGTGGTGCATCACCTCAGAGAAAATCGGTATTTCACCCCAGGACACTGGGGCCAAATTCAAACAGCCCTACAAATTCTGTTTTACTTTATCATGTGTGTCAGTCATGCATTTTACCCTAAAATTTTATTCTACACTTCATTTTTCTAAAATGCGAGAGTAAAATTGATGTTCTAGAACACTGTACCATGTTTATATTATGCCTTCAATTCCCTGCCAGTCCCCACATCCTGAATAGAAACCTTCAAGATTTGTGGCTCTAATTTTGAAAAGTCAGATCCCGGGGGTCCTTGAAAGCTGTCACAGGGAATTGAAAAGCAATGTTATTATTTCAAAAAGCCAGATGGAACTGTTCCTTTATTTAAGACGTGGCTTCATGGGCTAACAATTTTGTTTGTGTCTGGCAAAAGCAACACCAATGGTCTCCTAGGAAAACTGATGGGTTATTTACTTAATAAGCGTAATTTCCTAGGCAAAAATCTTTCCTCAAAGAGGAAAAGTAATGTAAGAGGTCTTGATTTTGAAAGCGCTGGGACCATTATTTCAAATTTTAAAGTACATGGAAGCAGGGATTTTAATATGAATACAAGCAAGATGTTTTAGTTCTTTTAGCCAGAGTTGGACTGATCCCAAACGTTAATGAACAATTTATTGTAGTTTTAAGCACACATTCAATCATTTCACTCTAGGGCAACTTGCATAGATAGTTTCCTGCAGCAGGACCAAGATAAAAGCAGAGTTGTTGGATTTTCCTCCTTGTTTGGCCAGAATCTCAAGGTGATTACTTTAGGCTTCTCTTTAACTTCGCTGGTGGAAACAGGAGGCTGGCTCTTCCAGTATATCTCAGAATGTTATTAAGATGAAATCATTTTACACTTTTATCTATTTGTTTTAGGGTTTTTTTTTTTTTTTTTTTTTTTTTTTTTGGTACTGGGGATTGAACTTAGGTCCTTGTGCTTGCAAGGCAGGCGCTGGAACCACTGAGCTAAATCCCCAGCCCTATTTCTGTTTGTTTTAATGCCTGATAGAAGCGGTATGATTAGTGAGCCTTTGACAAGTCATTCTCTTCCAAGAAAGTGAGTTCAATCTGATTCCTTCACAAGCATTTGTTGAATGCCTTCTGTGTGTCAGGCATTGTGCTAGGTGCCGAGGGATGGGCGATACAAATGGAAGATGTTCTTCTGCTCTCCAGTGGAGTGAAGCAGAGTTGAGGCTTCAGATCTTTTCGATAATTCAATCAAATTCCCTTCTGCAGGCATTCTCAACAGGAGTGACACCTATCACCCGCTAATGGAACGAAAGCTGCTCCTCGGGAGGACGACAATCTTAGATATTACAATGGCTTGGGACCTTCCATAGCTCAATACCACATGACAAAATCTGATTTCTCAGTTATTTTTTTTCTCTCATTAACATTTTCTTATGGGATAATAATGAAAGAAAAGGTAGGAAACAAGATCCACCTCTAAAATTTTGTGAAATTGGTCTCATTTCTCTCAAGTGCATCATTCCTGTGTACGAAAACAATCCATTAACTTTCTAGGCTATCTGAATTATAATAACGTTCTACATGTTGACATTTTCATGCCAAATCATATTTCCCACTTTCCCCATCCTTACTTCCTGCCACACGGTCCACAGTCCAGGTAAATCTTATTACATAGTGGCATCCAAGTATGCTACATGCCAGCTCACTCTGAACTTCTAGTGATGTCTTCCTCTAAGAATGTAATGTCTTCTCCCTACTTCCCCTTTTACCTCTGTATCGTCCACTTGGCTTCTCCTCTACAAGCCTTTCTTATTCCCTGTGACATGGGCGAGATGGTACCTTATCTCCACAGAGCATTTTAGTTTTTTTTTACTTCTTCCTGTCATATTCCACTGCATGGGAAACTCCTAGATTTTGTTCACCTTAGCATTTCCCATAGTGCCTCAGCACCTTGTTTAGTTCATAATGGATATTCTTACTAACCGCAGGGAATTAAATGGAAGAAAACCATCCACTCAACATGATATATACCAAACACTACAACTTTACTTCTGATAAAATAATAGATAAAATTGGTTAATTAGATACATTAACAGCAAAGTATATAATTGATATGATTAAAATCATGAAGAGAGCAAAATAATCTTAAATTTAGTAACATTACTAGAACTATTGATATTATAATAAGCAAAAAAAAAACAGCCAGTTTAAAAACGCTGCTGTTTATTTTGGCATGGTAACTTTTACATTACCAGTTAATGATTAGCTCTAATAATTGACATCCTGTAAAGAATGTCAATATTTTTTGAAACTAGGAGGATCTTAGCAAGCTAAATAGGACTTTTATGACTTCAAAGAAAGTATTTTAAGGACCATAAGCCCTCTTGCCCTGCATGAATACAAGCCAAAAAACAAAACAAAACAAAACAAAAAAACCCTAAACCTAGTCATAAAATTATGAAACAACTATCAGAAGAATTGTGACTTATTATTAGGATCACAATAGTCAGCTGAACATGGTGGTGTGCACCTGTAAACCCAGTTACTTAGGAGGCTGAGTCAGAATGGTCACAATTTCAAGGCCAGCCTAGGCAACTTAGTGAACCCTCTCTTGAAAATAAAAATGGGGCAAGGGCTGTGGATATAGCTGGGTGGTACAGCACCTGCCTAGCAGGTACAAGGATCTAGGTTCAATCCCCAGCACCATGAAACTAGGATCTCAACAGTCCCAGATTGATTCAACATGACTCAAAAATCCCAGCTATTTTTTTAAAAGAAACTGACAAATGGATCCTAAAATTCATACAGAATTGCTACAGTAATCAAGTGCTGTATTGCCATTAACAGAGACATACAGATCAGTGGGGTAGAAATGAAAGCCCAGTCACTGACTTTTATGGTCAATTCATTTCAACAAGGGTATCAAGGCTACTCCATGGAGAAAAGAATAATCTTTTCAAGACATACTGGAACATGAGAAAGACTAAAGTTGAATTCCCAAATTAAATGATACATAAAAATTAAAGTGAACCACATATATTTACATTAAAACTATAAAATTAAACAAAAACTAGAAGAAAATCTTTATGATCTCAAATTTGTCAGTGGGTCCTTAGAAGTGACATCAAAAGGATAAATGACAAGAGAAAAAACAAACCAATTGGACTTAATCAAAATTAAAGTTTTTGTGCTGCAATGGACATTATTAAAAGAGTTAAAAGATAACTCACAGAATGGGAGAAAATACTTGCTAGTCATATATCTGAAAATGACTTGTATCCAAAATAGATAAAGAACTCCTAAAACTCAAGGATAAAAGGACGTATCACTTAAATATAAAATGCATATGGATCTGAACAAGCATTTCTCCAAGGAAGGTAACAAATAGCCAGTAAACTCATGAAAAGGTTCCCAGAATCATTAACAATTAAATAAGTACAAATCAAACTGTAGTGAGTTGAACGGTGGTTGTGAAAAGATTTGCCACACTGAAACCTGTGAATGTGGCCTTCTTGGGAAAAAGGTCTTTACAGAAGTTAGACTGACAGTCTTGAGATGGTTTATTCTAGATTACATGGTTAGGCCCTAAATCCAATGGCAAATGTCCTTTACAAAGCAGAGGAGAGTAGCCAGGCGTGGTGGTGCACGCCTGTATCCCAGCACTCGGGAGGCTGAGGCAGGAGGATCGCTGTGAGTTTGAGGCCAGCCTGGGCTACAAAGTGAGTTTCAGGTCAGTCTCAACTACATAGTGAGACCCTGTCTCAAAAAACAAAAAACAAGCAAACAAAAAAACAAAGCAAAGGAGAAAACACAGGGAGTGAAAGAGGAAGGCCATGTGAAGATGGAGGCAGAAATTGAAGTGATGCAGCCACAAGCCAAGGACACCTAGAGCCACCAGAACCTGGAAGACTCTCACCAAATGCCTTGGAGGGAGCACAGTCTTACTAACATCTTGATTTAGACTCTGGCCTAAATTCTTATTTTAAAATAAAGTAAATTTATACTTTTATTTTATTTTTATTTTTTCAAGACAAAGTCTCACTATGTAGTTCAGGCTGGCCTCAAACTCACTGGTGATCCTCCTGCCTCAGCCTCCCAAATGCTAGGATTAAAGGCATGCCCCACCATGCTTGGCTATATATTCAATATCTTAAATTTGTGGTACTTTGCAATGGCAGCTACGGAAAATTTATATACCACATATGCAACAGCTGCCTCATAGATCTATATTCACGAGAACTGAAAAATATGCCAACGCAAAAGCATGTGCATGAATGTTCACAGCAGAATTATTCATCATAGCACCGAAGTGAAAAAAAAACCCATAAATGTCCACCAACAGACGAATGGATAGATACATGTGGTTTAGCCACACAACAGAGCCTTCGGAAGGAATAAAGTACTGACTCATGCCAGAGCTTGGTAAACATGGTGCTAACCGAAAGGAGCCCACACGAAGGACAACATGTGTGATTTTATTCACGCGAAATGCCCAGAATGAGTACATCTAGATTCAGGAGAGAGAAGACTGTCTGCATAGGACGGGATGGGGTGGGGTGAGGGATGGGGGATCAGACAGAGTGCAGACTGGGAAGGGACTGATAATGGGCTGTAAGATTTCTTTCTGGGTGATAAAATGCTCTAAACCTACATTGTGCTAATGGCTGCACAAATATATGAATCTCTTAAAAATCACCGAGTATTGTTAATGTGTGAATTAATGGCATGTTAATTACATTTCAATGAAGCTGTCTAAGAGAGTATAATAAAGAGCAAATAATGAAATCCTAGTTCAGCATTTGATATCCAGTTGGTTTATTCAGTGAGTAATCACAAACGATACTTTAGCTCTATCCCACCATAACCTAGACAGGAAAGTTCAATAAGGAAAAGTAAGCTCCAAAATGAATCATTAACTTTGGTCTTGATGCCATCTGCTATCATAGTGTGCTTGGAGGCTTGTGGGTGAAGTTCCTAGTCACAATTTTAAATCCAAGTCCTCTTGCTAAGCGGAAGTATGTGGCCCTTATCAGGTTCCTCTCTGGATTGATTCTCTCCCTGTTCACTTAAGTGCAACAGGACCTAAGGAAACGGCATTCTCCCCCAGAAAACGGGGACTGCCTGTAGAAATCTAATCATTTCCTGACAGCTTTGGCATTTTTCAGTTTCTTCCAGTAATGGTCCTCCCTCTAAAGAGTCTAACATAATAATAGGAACTCTACCTTAAAATGATCTCTTTAAGACATTGCTTTTAAGAATGCACCAAAAGTAGTCTGTTGTGGCTAGGGACAGGGCCAGAGGGGGAACATCAATAGAAACAAAGGGTCTCAAAAGGCTACAGGAAGAGAGCTCACCTATGCCCAACCTCAACCCTGCCCAGAGGCCAGTTTGGTTCACATCTCAGGCCCTGTGTGGAGCACTTCTGAAATATCCTGTCCGGTGTAACTTTAGGGGATCATGGTGAGGTCACAGAGGCTGGAGAGCTGATATAAGTGCTTAGGTACAGTTTTGCATTGGTTGTACAGGAGGGATCCTGAAGTCACACACAGCCTCCTCTGGTCAACTTCCAGATCAATGAAGGGGACCCAACAGGACTGGTTTTCCTTGTGGGTCTACGGCACAATCTCAGTCACTGTGGGTTCTGGCTACTTTAAATTCAGCCTTTCGCCTGCCTCTTCTGCAGTCTGTTCAGTGGGGCTGACTTTGCCTTCTCCAGACTTCAACAAATCCTCACTGGCCAGATGACTGATTGAGGCATAGGCATCTGACCCCAAAGCTTAAATGGGATGCTGGTGGGAACTCACAGGAAAAAGACAGTCCTTTCCTTATTTGAAAAGAGTGTTGGGAGGAGCCTTCGGCCAAGAGGAAGTAATTTTTTTGAGGATACTGATGCATCTTTAAAATTCATCACCATGGAACTACTTTTTTTGCCCAGCAGTTCAACTGATCATGCTGCTTTTTAGGTAAATGAATAATATAAATACAGAACATTCATGTAATTTCATTATTATAACTAATTATAGCTCTTGGGAAGTACCTACCAGACTTTGTTGGTGCTGTTTTTCGATCTGATAGCCTCCAAAATGCACGATGCCAGGTCTTGCCTGTATTGCCTTATTATTCAGAAGGTTGGCATAAGTCTCTATAAAAACAAGGTAGATAAGAACATACTGAGACATCACAGGAAAGATTACATTAAAGAAGATCCTATTAACATGGGCTCTCTTTAATTTAGGACATTTTAAGCACATGAAAGTTTTAGACACTAGATACAGCTGTCAACAAGATTAATTATCTGTTTCCAAATAAGCAGACTCCTTCCTCTGTTTTTAAGCATCATTTGGGAGATGCTCCCACTACAGAGCAAATTCACATCATGTTTATGACCTACTAAAATAATTTTCTCTTCACACATTATACTTATCTTTCTAATGAAACATCAGCTTATAAAAACCATATTCCGTATCATTGATTTAACATTGATATTACTTATTATGTCATGAATATGCAGTTCAAAGAATTCAAACATCATGTGTTTATTACTGTTCATTTAACTTTTATTACTTGACTTCCTCCAGATAGCATTACAACATGATGTAAAGTAATCTTAATGCTCTGAGTATTGCTGTAGACATTAAAGCCTTGAATTACCTTTGTTGTAATGTGAATGTATTTTTTTTTTAAGTGCTAAGGACAAGGTTAAGACAACTGAGCTCACAGAGGGATTCAGATCTCTAAACCTTTTCCAAGCTTTTTATGTGGGCCAAAGCAAAGGCATGGGGAAAAGGCACTGAGACCCCACTACATGACCCTTTTCATTCCTTCCCTGTTTTGTGTCAGGCAGGGCTCTCGTGCATTTGTTTATAATCCTCGCTCCAACCCTATGAGCTATTATTTCCACAGTGAAGAGGAGGGAGCTGAGATTTAACAGAGTTAAGAAACTAGCTCACAGCCAGTTGTCAAAAACCAAGCCCAGATAAATGATATAAATAATAACCTTGTGGCTGTGACACAGACAGACATCCATACCCCACCCATGTTCCCCCCTCAGTCCTGGGACAATCTGAAGTGTGGGAGAACTGTTTAGTGCCACTTTCTTCCTAGTGTCTTGTCATGCTGTCATCAGCTTTGGGCCAAACTGAAGGGCTGGAGTGGGGTCATGATGGCATTTTAGGGCCACTGGTGATTTCTGGTTCTTATCACTCGGTCATTTTCAAGTGCTGAAATTATCCTCATTCAGCATTTTTTTTAATTTTGAAAGATTTTTTTTTTTAGGGCCACAAAGCAGATGTAAAATTAGCATTCTTCTGCTAACACCCGGTTACGAAGTACGCCAATCTGCATGCACTTCACCAGTTCTACAGTGACCAAAGTGTCACACCAAATACTACATCACTGATATTTAAGCTTGGTCTTGAAGGATGAATGGGGAAATCAGGCTTGGTGACAAAGACTAGCTGTGGGCTCTGCCAGGTGGGCACCAGCTGAGGTGTACCATCTCAGGAAAATCACAGACCTCACTGAGTCTGTTTCCCCAACAGTAAGACTGAAAAAGAATGTATTTCATGAAGTTGCTGTGGGTGGATTAAATGACAGTAATGCAGGGAAGATGATTCACTTTTTCCATAAGAACTACAAAGAGACAAAAATACAGGGCGTTTAAATTTTAGAATTTATTATAATAAAAGATACACTGCCATTAATCTCCTTCAAAATACGCATCCTCACTTTGAACACACTTATGCCATCATTTTTATCACTTTCTGAAGCAATTTTGGAAGTCCTTCTTCTTGAATGGCTTTCGCCGCATTGCATGGCTGCCTCAATACTTTAAATTAATTCAAATGTTTACCTTTCATGGTCATTTTGGCTTTGGGGAAGAGCCAGAAGGTGCACAATGCCAGATCTGGTGAATAAGGTGGGTGAGGGAGGACACACTGTAATATTTTTATGAGCCTGCCTTTCTGTTGGATGGCACTTGGCAGCTGCATTCACTATATTGTTTTTATTACACCTCATAAAGGCAAGAAAGGGGATTTCCAGAACTACTAATCAAAGAGTGTGGGACAAATGTGTTTGAAATAAGGGGGAGTATTTTGAGGGTGACTAATGTATCTTTTACTGTAATACATTTTTAAATTCAAATACTCACTGCAGTTTTTGATTACCCTTGGTATAGGATATTCCATGGTTTTGTGGCTCAACAATAGCACAAGAAAAGGCAGCAAGGTGTAAACTGCTGGTGATCTGAAGCAGCAGGGTAATTCGTGGCTGGAGAGGGGGATGAACTGGGGATGGCACTGGATGGTCAAGTTCAGATCATACAACTTTACTCTGTATGCAAGGGGAACCATAGAGAGTATTCAAGCAAGAGAGAGATGGGTCACGCAGGATTCTAGAAAGAAAATGGACAGGAGGACAGTCTGGCCAGGAGGGAAATACTGTTAAGAGTCCCTGTGACCAATGAGGGTGAGAAACAGGCAGCAGAGGCAGATACAGAACTTCGCAAGTAACTTGTATCATAAAAATCTACCATTCAAGTGGCTAGATGTAAACAGAACTATTGTTCTTAATAGTAAAAAAAAAAAAGAAACCATTATGATCCTATAAAACAATATAGATAAATCAGCACCAAAATTCCATTCAGCTTTCTGGACTTTGGATCCCCTGGGAAGATGTGAGCTGTAAAACACGTCTGTTCCCCAGCCACTTACTTGATTCGAGGAGGTGATTCGGCACTTCCCTTTTCTTGGGCTCCTCTACTAGGCTCTTCAAAAGGAGGGGCATTTCATTATTGAAGGTTTCTTCCACATTCTTTAGTTCTTGGCCGGGAGTTTTCACTGCTGCCATTTTATCAAGAAAAATGAGTCTTCCTTCCGGAGCCAAAGGTCATTTCCTGTGGGGAAAAGAGCAGCAGTATAATCATCCCCGTGCACTTTGCCGCCCTCAGTTCCGACAAATGTACCTCTTGTCTCTGAGTGGTTCAGGCCTCCCTACTTCTTGTCTCCCTTAGCTACTCCACTCCCACACACAGCTGTCCGATTCGTCTTCTCACACCACACATCGTGACTCAGTGTGTGCCACCACTCCACACCTTTCCATGGTCTTCGAGAGCTTTCCCCAAATGTTCTCACGTGATACTTTGTGGGTACACAAAGGTTCTCACGCTGAAATAAATTTGGAAAATGTTGAGGGAAGCAGTTCAACAGGCTGCTCCTTTCTGAAATTTCTCCAAATCAGTTTCTTAGGGGTATGTGACTGTGGACCCCTTCAACATTTGGATGAACTGTTTTTGGGGCATTGGCATTTGTAAGTCACTTTCAGGGTCCACATTGCTATTAGGAGATAACGAGATAGCGAAGTCAGTGGTCAGCCAGATGTAGAGAGCTGGGGACATTCTTAGGATCTCTGTGGGTCTCAGTCCAACACTTGCCTTCTCTCGACATATTTGAAATCCCTCACTTCTCATGCAGTCCACACTGACCCAACACCCTTTAGCGTTCTTTAGCAGTTATTTCTCACTTGACACTAATGATTGATTGCCTTGCAATTGCATTTACAGATCCCACATTTCCTTCTATCTTCCATAACTAAGACCCTTAAATTGAGGCTTTTGTTCAGGCCAGGAGGCTGCTTCTGTGAAACCCAGAAAGTAAAACAATGTAAAACCATGTGTGTGCATTTTTGTTTTTCCTTAGAAGATTCATAGCTTTGGCGTCTCAGGAATCCACATCATCAAGCGAAACAGTGAATACACTGAAGAAGGTGCTTAACCATCACTTTTAGAAAGCACTTTTAGCTGTCACTTCCTCTCCAGTTCCTCTCCCTAGCTAGCACCTCTCACGAACATCCCAGAAGGCTGTTCTAAGTTTACGACCAGACCCTGTTTCATCTCCTGGTCCCTCAAATTCCCGGCCTGAACTTCAGGCAGGTAGAAGAACGAAACGGCGCTCACGTATCTTGCCTACGTCCACTGAACTTGTCTCCATAGCCTCCACCCCATGTTTAGTCTCCTGGCCCTCTCACCCAGAAGCCCCTGACAGCCTGGTCACAGGCCTCTTCTCTGCTACCTACGCACCACCCCAGTCCTCTTTTAAACTCTTTGGGCCCGACCTCCGCTCCACCCCCGGCCCGGGCTGACTTTTGGCTTCACTTCTTCACTTGCCCGGGGCTCCGGCCGCCTCGCAGCTCGGCTTTGGCTCTCGGCCGCCTTTGAGACACCCCTGAAGTCGCTCACACTGGAGAAGGTTCCCAAGTAGGATTCGGCGAGCGCCGGCACCAGCTCCCAGCGTCGCCATGACGACGCGGACGCGCTCCCAGGGTGCGCAGCTGGACGCAACCAAACGCCTTCAGGACGTGAGGTGAGGGCGGAGCTGAGAGGCCGCGGCTGAGGGCCAAAGGCCGCGGATAACGTCCAGGCGCGGGGCCGTCTAGGGAACCTGGGGAAGAACAGAGAGCGCATTTTATGATATGGGAGGGCGATGGGTTTCCGGGGGAAATGAGAAAGTGCGGAGACACCATAAATAGACAATTTGGGGAAGCGGATAAGAAGTAGGACACATGGGGCGGGGCCTCTCAAGCTCAGTGGGTGGAGCTTCTCCCAAAGACCTGCAGTCCTGGACGCCTGAATGATACAGTTTATTTCAGGTAAGCGGAGTGGTGCGACGGAGCTCTGCAACCATGGCCATTCTTGGTTCATCCCGACCTTTCCCTCACTCTGTATTATTTTGAAAAACGCCCCGTATATCACTTAATCTATACATATTTCAGAATATGCCTCCAAAAGATACGGATTCTTAAAAAAAAAACCCTTAAAATTATAATAATTTCATATACCCTAATATATTTTACCCGATTGCCTCATAAATGTCATAACTCCTCTCCCCCAGTGTTTGCCAGTTTGAATCAGAATTCACATGCAGTAAAATCACACATTGGGATAGATTGCTATGTCTTGTCTCTTGTAATCAACAAATGGTCCTCCATCTCTTTTGTTGTTGCAAACTGTTTTTGTCCTTGATATCGATACGTAGGGATTATAAGCATGAAAACCCTCCCGCTCCTCCGATCTCCTGCCTTATCCTTCTTACTCTGCTCATCCAGGGACATTTTTCTTAATTTAGGTTGCCCAGGTTTCCATATTCTTAGGATCTGTTTTTGTCTCTTTTCCTTGGATGGCTTGATACTTGCTTGATATTATTTATGGGTTTCTGTTGTTAACAGATCATTTAGGCATCCTAAGAGGCTACCTGCTTTCTACACTGTTAATTGTTAGGCTGGATGTATCTCTCTCCCAACTGAGAATGTTCATTTTTTTCTTCTTTTTATTCTCTAGTCCCTTCCTCCCATCACCATTATAGCTTAATAAAAATATCTCCATCTTTCAAGGCCAACACTAGGTAAGAGTCACCCTCTCCCTCCTTCTAGACCCCAAGATCGGAAGGACTCTTCCTCCTATGGGCTTTTAAAACATTTGTTCCGCCATCTTTCTCTCTTTATAGTGGTTATATATTTATATACTGCACCAACAATTATTTGTGTACGTGTCTTACATCGCAGAATTCTTAGTGGGAGGGCCCTGTACTTAATCCTTGGGTCTCCCACAACACTTAACACAATTCATTGCTCCTAATGATTACTCAGTAACTGTTGGTCAAGGGAATGAAAATTTCATTTGCCTATGTAATAGGTTTAATTCTCTCTGTTTTGTTGCTCCAACAAAGGTGTAGATTTCAAGAGAATAAGTGCTGCTTCCCACAGTCTCTGATCTTTCCATCCCAGCTCAATCACAAGATATTTGCTTTCATCCAATTTTTAATGGGCATTGGGTAACATTTTAAAATCTGTACTTAATATTTTGTTGGGAAAAATTATTTCCCTTGGTATATAGATAATATTTAGGTTTCTATATAAGCAGTTAACCAAACTGCATGTCTTCATATGTGTACTGTGTCCGTTACCTATTCTGCTTTCTTTTGTACAGAACCCCAACTTTGGTCAGTGTTCTCCCCAGCCCCCCAGTTCTAGCAGTGTTTCCTAATTAATGTAGGCCAGTCATGGAAGTTCTCACCCCCTCCTGCACTTTACCAGGATTGGTTCAGGGCTGGGTATATAATCCCATTCTGGCCACAGTGATATGAGGGGAAAGCTTCTGGGAGACCTCTGGGGAAGACTTTCTCTCTCACTATTGTGTACTCCTCAACTGGCACACCGATCTCACATGATGGAACCTCACAAACAGTTGAGACCTTAATGTGTTACACCAAGTGATTTCCAAAATTTAAATCATAGGGGCTGTAGCTCAGTGGTAGAGTACTTGCCTGCCATCCACAAGGCCCCAGGTTTGATCTTCACTGTCAAACAGAAATAAACAAGTAAAGAAAAATTTAATCCTATATATTGTTGGAAATCAAGAAATATATTCATATAATTCAAAAAGTTACAAAAAACTCCCCATTTCTGTCTCTTAGCTGTCAAATTTCCTTTCCCAGGGGTAACTCATGCTCCATATTTATCTTTTAGGAACATATAAGACATGCTTTTATTTGTAAAAACTCTATCCTTTGTTTAGAGCCTAAATAGCTTGCTCTTCTTTCTTTTTCACTTAAAAATTTATCTGTATAATCATTCCACATCTGTGTATAAAGCACCTCATTGTTCTCTTTTATGACTGTATAATATTCAATAATTTATTTGCTCGGTTTTTATTGTTGAATATTTAGGTTGTTTCAGATCTTATGCTGCTATAGTCAGTGTGTTATTTATACAGTTGGGCGCCATTTCTACAAGATTATGCATGTGTCCATTCATTTACATGTGAGTGTATGTAAGAGTATAAGTGTTGTAGTCAAAGAATCTGTGAATTTGTAACATTGCTAACTGTTGCCAAATTACTACTCTCCATAGGTATTGCATCTATTCCTATGCTTACCTGTCATGTTTGAGACCATTTGTTTTCTTATAGTATCAGCAACAAGTATAAAATTTTTCTATTTTTACTGCTCTGATAGGTAAAACATAGTATTACAAGAGTAGTTTTGATTTTGCTTTCTCAAATGAGTAAAGGTGAGCATGTTTTCATGTTTAGGAGATGTTTATATTTTTTTCTTCTGTGAGTACATATGATTTACTGATGTTTCCATTTGATTCCTAGTCTTTCTGTTATTGAATTGTTGGTGCTTTTTACATATTAAAGACACTCATCTTTCGTTCTGTGATAACAGTTGCAATTTTCCCTCAGCTTGCTATTTGATTGTACTGTCAGAATTTTTATCTTGCAAACTTTAAAAATTATGTTTTATTTATTTATTTATTTTTGGTACTGGGGATCAAACTCAGGATCTTCTGCTTGTGAGGCAGGAGTGATGCCACTGAGTTAAATCCCCAGCCCACAATGTTGTATTTATTATTTATTGCTCTATAACAAGTTACTTCCAAACAGTGATTTGAAACAACTGCATTCATTTACTCTTGTTCTAACCCAGAGTAGGGATAGGAATTCAGACAAGACACAGCAGTGAAGGCTTGTTTCTTCTCACTGATGTCTGGTGCTTCAGTTGGAAGACTTGAAAGCTTAGAGGAAGAATCATCAGATGATGTAATGCTGTCACCTGAGAGCAGGAATAAGGCTCTGGACCAATAATTTAAATACAGTGAAATTACTTTTAACTTCAAGCCGGATGCAGTGGTGCACAACTGTAATCCCAGATATTTGGGAGGCTGCAGCAGGGAGATCTGGCTTATTGAAGGCTATTCTAAGAAACAAGTCAAGACTCTGTCTCAAAATAAAATTTAAAGAAAGAAAGAAAAGAAAATGCTAAATGATGGACATTACTTTCCCCATATGAGGAAATTGAGGCTTGGAGAACTCAGGTAACTTGCCCAATGTCATATGGTTAATTTATGATTAAATCAGGATTTAATGCCCACCCCCCGCCTTTGGTAGCAGGCATCGAACTTGGAACCTTGCACTTATGAGGCAGGTGGCAGAACCACTGAGCTAAATCCCCAGCCCTATGAACCCAGTTTTGTGTGTTGCCAACATTTTTTCTCCCCACCTCCCACGTCTGTGTGTGTGTGTCTCTGTGCGTTACTAGGGATCGAACCTAGGACTTTGCACTGAGCTACATCCACAGCCCTTTTTAGTGTTTTGCTAAGTCACTAAGTTCTCAGGCTGGGCTCAAGTTGTGGTCCTCCTGCCTCAGCCTTTCGGAATGCCAACATTCTTTTCTCTGGGCCAATGTCTGGGTGGGAGTCCTCTGGGAGCTCGGGTGCATCTGATCTTTCTTTGCTCCATCCAGTGAAGACACAGCTTGGAAGTACTAGCAACATTTTCTTTCAGGTATGGTTTTATTTGATCTCTTTTATTTGACCTACTTTAACTGTAGTATTTCAAATAAATATTCAAAAGGGTACTGACAAATAGAGGAGGATGTTTATAAAGTAGAGAAAAACCTGTTTTCCTAAGAAAGTTAGCATGCATTTCCAGAGTGTAAACAATGATTGTGGACCATAAAAACCTCATGAAAATGTCAGTCTTCTACTTTGTACTTCAAGACTGAATTGGAAATCACTCCTGCCCCATTATTTATGGCTCATCAATAATACATTAGCTCAGCTCCTGGTAAAGCTGACAGTCAGGGGAGAACAGGGCTGTATGTTAGGTTTATTCCATACCTGAAGGCCTGGAGAGTTCTTTGCATTTGTGTGGCTCTTTGGTGAGGACCTTAGACCCAGACACCCAGGGGGGGCTAATTTCTCCCCCGTCCCCAGTGCTGTCCTTGTTCCTCTACCTCTAACTCAGCCCTTTCAGCTCAAATATTGTTTCCTCAGGGAGGCCTTCCTCAGGTACAGGTCAGGGCTCTTGCAGTTACAAGTGATGTCAATTGATTTAAATGGGAGATGGACAAGGGAAGAGGGAAGAAGGAGAAGAGAGAAGGGAGAAGTGAGGCTCCTTCAAATCTTCAGTAACACTGTGACGATGCTAATGTGAGAGGTACGCTGCTCTCCACCCTTTGGTTTCTTCTAGTCCACGTGGCTTCATTCTCAGCCAGGTCGTGGGTGATGGGGTCAAAATGCCGATGCAGGGGTCCTGATAGAGTTACTCTACTGGCGTTGGTTGAGCCACTGTGCTTAGTTGTTTGGGAGGTAGTGACCCTCCTTGTCCAGGTCTGGTCATGTTCTCAGCCTTAGGGCTGCTTTTGTCCCCAAGCCACATGATCTGAGAATGGGAAGGGGAAGGTTCTTCTTTCAGAAGGAGGAATGGTGGCTGGACAGGCAAACCCAACTTTGTTGATATTGAAATGCAGTTCACCTACAAGCGTGGTGACAGGACTGAAGCTGATGCATTAATCCGCCAAGCTTCGTCTTGTCGCTCCTTACTGTCTGCTTTTATAGCATTATCACACGTGCAGTGTCACCTGCCACACATTCTGCAGCTGCTTACGTCCGCCAACCAATAGGTTTGTCCCACGTGTGATGACACAAGTCTCCTTTTTTATGTTGTTCTGTTTTTCATTAACAAAGATACAAGAGGTTTAACATATATTGTCTTATTATTCAGAAGTTGCTGTCTGAAAACATAACACAGATATGTGTGATTCAAAATGTTTGGACAAGGAGGACTCCATAAGATAACTGGGTGGTGG